CTTACAATCTTACATTGGAAATTGAATAGCTGTAACTACGTTAATAGTTGTCCGAAATGAATGATTTTTATAGTTTTGTAGAGAATTTCATTACCTTAAAGAAAAAAATAGGTAAATAGTCTTTCTTCGGGGGAGCTTTCCGTCGAAAACCGCATATCGAAAATTTGACTTGATCGCGATATTTTACCTAGTATAGGTAGGAAAGTAAAAAAACACAATTACAAACAATATATTTTACTTTTTAAAATGCAAAAAGGAAAAATTAATTTTATTTTGTATTTAATTTTTTTAAATAGTGCCAAATCTGATATCAATTAATATCACATATACTAATTGTCTTAAAGGCTGAACGACATTTGTTGATATAAAGATAATAGTTAGCAAATGAACAATCCACTATATTTAATAACGTATTTTTCTGCGTAATATTCCTTTGAGACTCCCTTGTCCATTGTTTATAATAATAATAAGCATTTGGCATTTCTTTCGTAATACCAGCGGGGAGAGATGACACATCATTTGTAGACTTCTTGCGCATCTTGAAAGATGAGATTTTATTAATAGAATAGAATAGTGAAGGAATAGAATATTTGACTTTGGAATATTGAAGTTAAAATTTAAAACGACGGTTACCTTGGCGATCACCGAAGGAGACATGGAGGCCGCCCGGACAGATCTATCTAACCCCAATAAATAACCCAGGTGCAATAAAACATAACCAAGGGCTCTCCTAAACCCAGGGCACGTCCTTCTCCTCTATATCTTTTTTCCTCTATACCCCAGGATCGTATGAATCAATCATAGCTGACAACGGGGAGTTTAGTCCTAAAGGGAAAACCATTTTTACAAGTTTCGAATCCTTCTTATAGAAAGAATATCATCCTTATTGCCTGGTCCTGTCTAGATTTCACACAGCTATATCTTATAGATTATTGATTTATTTAATTAGAAACCGGATATCTTTTATATCCAAATACATAGCTCTAACAATTACAATAAACTTATTCGATAACACAAGTAAATAAGAAAAAACAACTTTTTTTGGGCACAGTTCTAAATGAAAAGAAAGTGACAAGAAAAAAAGCGACTGAAAATACAATACTCACTTTTTTCCAAATCAAAATTGAAAATCAGACAAAAACTAAAATACACACACATACCTCTATCAGTGTTGCCCAAATGGGAGGCTGATACGAGTCTTGGTCTTGCAAAATCAGTCTTGGTTTTGTGCAAGAGTCTCGCAACAGTCTTGCAGTTACTTATCAGCTTATAGAGATATTACTGTAATTTTTTAGATAAGGGAAACCTAACTAAGCCGTAATGAAAAATTAGAGCAGTTAAATGCAAAAGTATATTGGTTATACCAATTATTAACATATAATAATCAAGATTGTCAAGTATTAGTAACTATTTCGCCTTAATTTTTTTTATTTAAAAAATCGATTTTTTTTTAACAGTCCTGGTCTTGATCTTGTAACAGTTAGGCGGCTTTGGTCTTGGTCTTGCAAACTGCAAGACCAAAACCGATTTTGGGAACACTGACCTCTATCTACTCTCTTAATACCGGATCTCAACCTATAGACCTATATATTCCTCCCCATAATACAATTTCCTTCAGAAAATCATTCTTCATTCGTGTTATCTCCTTTATAAAAGCATTATTATTATTATTATTATTATTGATCATTCCAATTCAATAAAAAAGATGTCTTCCTGTCAATTTTTAAAATTTTGTTTCTCCCTTCACAAGAGCGAAACTGTATTTCATCATCATCAGGGTAGATAATATGAAACAATAAAATTAACACGAATAATAATTTTTTTTTGCAAAACAATTTAAAAATAATTTAAAAAAGTTGACAATAAAAAACCCAATTTAATAAATTATTAAATAAAAATTGGTAATCAGCTGACTTATGGTGATCCTCCTCTCCTGTCAAATGAGAACTAAAAATAAAAATAAAACTGTAGACCAGATGTATTCAAGAATTGATTATTCTGTTATAAGGAATATTGTAGTGATTCGTTCCTGTATTATAATTATATCGTTGTAAGATATGAAAAAAATCTGAAGTTCGCAACACACAACTTTCACTTACCGCTAAATTTTGAATACAAATTATTTTCTGGCCATGTTGGGATATAATATATATTTTTTTAATTATTAATTAAAATTATTAATTAATTAATTAAAAATAATTTTTTAATTTTTTTTTTTAATAGAATTTTTAACCGAGCTGAAGCTAAAAAAATACAGCTAACAAATCATAAATACCATTAAAATGACAAAAGTCCTATTTATTATATCACCGGTTGATTATGGATTGCACGATCATGGATTATGGATTGTACGACTATTAGTTATTAAACTGTCATTTTCCATTGCAAAGTTTACTAAAAGGGAATTGAGAGATTTGCATTGTCTGTCATAGACAGGTCAAAAGTTGTCCCAGTAATTGTAAGGTATACTGTTGGAATATCACCAAAGGAAATTTCATCAAACTATTCACTAATTTAGTTTCTTAAAAGGTTACATGATGATTTTTTGGATTAAATGGGTGATAGACACCTACATATTTAAATATAATATCAGAGCCAGAATTATTAAACTATAGTAAATATATTTAAGGTTATAAGCTTATCCATGAAATATTTTTATATTCCACTTCTTCTTTCACACAAGTACAATGAAATATAGTGGATACTGTTGGAATATATGAATATCATAAAGGAGAGATTCATCAAATTATTTACTAATTGAATTTCCTAAAAAGTTATATGACAATATTTCGGAATAAACGGACGTTGATACCTAATTATTTAAAATCTATACATATAAAACTGAATGTATGTCTGTTTGTCCGTCTGTTTGTCCTTAGTGCATTACTAAACCATTCAACCGATCGCCACGAAACTTTGGGAAGTTGTTCCGTACACTCCTGGGAAGGTTTCTGGCATAGTACTTCTGTCTTACGATAATTTTATGTATGTAAAAAAAAAATAAAAATGTAAATGTTTTTCTGTTCTAAGCCGCAAAAAATGTGTCGCTATAAGCTGTTGCGCAAAAACGGCTTTACCGATTTTAACGAAACTTGGCTAAAGTCTTCCCTTTGAAATCCTTTTAATTTGTGTGTATAACATACTTTCCCGAAAACAAGCTGAAAAATGTTACGATGAATTCAATATTTTATTTGACGATAACTAAAAAAGTACACAATTTTTGACTGATAATACCAACATTTATTTGAAAGATTCCTGATTTGCCGACAAAATAAAAAAGATGTCATCGAAATCGGACTGTTCGTTGCAGAGTTATGAAGTTTTAAACATTTACTGCTTTCTCTTCAGAAAAGGCCGTTTCCTTTTGCTTCCTCACTACCGAACGTCGGCAGTATTTTTTTTTAAATTTATTAATCGAAAATTTTATAATTACTACAGTAATTGAAATTATCATTTGAAGAATTTATATGATTCTCCTTATGTAGGTCAACATTATTATACGTTTTTTAATTAATTTTTTTATTTAGTTTTATAAGTTCAACTCAGACTGTTTCTGATGATTATGAATGACGGCGTATTTACTCAGATGATTATGAATGTTCAATTTGAATCATGAGAAAAAAAAACATTTAGAATTAGTTTCAATTGAAGCCATTTTACAGACAAATGTGTTTCCCAACTTTTTAAAAACGATAGATGTCCTTTGATACTAATCTAATCATATGTGCTTTCTATTTTCATTCCTTTTCATTTTGCCAGGCTAAGCCACAGCAGCGCGTGGCCGGGTAAAGCTAGTATAATATAAGATCTATAATTATTAAACTACAGTAAATGTACTTAAGGCTATAAACATATGCTTTATACATCCATGGAATGATTTTATATTTTACTTCTTCTTTCACACAAGTACATTGAAATAGTTTTTTAAAATGTCATTGCCTTGATTAGGTGGATTTTAAATACTTCTTTCAAACTTAACAATATTTTAAAATTTACTTTTAGTTAGTAAAGGTCAATTAATTTCCTTGAAAACATGTGATTTACGTTACATATTATTAGTTTTCTAAAACTATTATTTATAATTTGTTTGCCACTCTCCGTTACCTGCTACAACTTTCTATATTAGATATTATTTTTTCTAAAATTCTCTGCTTTCCAACGATATATTATACCCGTACCTTCTGATTAGTATTTCCGGAGATTCGTTTTTGACCTGTATAAGCATTTTTATTTTTTTCTTCTTTGTTCAATTATAAAATTCTTTCAGAAGTTATATTTAGCATTTTTTCGTAAATCTTAATAATGAGAGTTAGTAAATTATTTAAAATAAACCATATTAAAGGTACTTTAGAGGAAGACGCATATGAAGACTGGGCATTTAAGCCCTGTATAGTGCATCAACGTGGATAAGACATAAATGATACCACCAATAATAAATACCACTTAATTATACAATGTTACACGGAGTTTAATCAAAATCTTTAATGCCATTTTTGGGAAAATTGTAAAAATGTCATCAGCATTGATATAAAGTCTGACTTCAAAGTAAGTCGATTTTAAGGAAAAAGTTGCTGTCACATTTCAGGCGTATACTTATTTTAAATACGTAATATGAGTTTCGTACGACTTTTCGTTTTTGAGTTATACTGATAACAAACATATACACAGACACACAGACCATTTTTTGGGACTTGGTTATTTGGACTCAGGGTACACCAAAACGTGTATTTCTGTTGAAAACTCAGATTTAAAAATTCTCTCGATCGCAATACTTACACTTACTATATATTACATATATGCGCAAGCGAAAGTAAAATATTGTATCATTTCGGATATAATATGATACATTTTACTAACCACAACGTTAAGGAATGCAATCAAATGATTTTAATATAATGGAATCGGAAGTCAGGCGTGGTCAGATCTCGACCTCGAAGTGAGAGATAAGTCTTTATCAGCATCTGTAGCCTCAGTTCCGAGCTTTCCTTCAAACCGTAAAGATGCGCGTGTTTCTCTTACTGTTAGTGACCTGTTTAGTTCTGTTAGTTCTTGTCGAAGGAAAGTCATCGAAAGACTCGAAATCGAAGGATCACAGTTCCAAACATTTAAGCCACGGGAAAGTGGCCAAAGTAAAAGCGAAACACTCACGGCACAGTTCTAGCGACTCTTCAGAATCCTCCGAGCATAGGCACAACAAAAAGCACAAACACCACGAAGAGCATAGGCGCCATGAAGAGCATAAGCACCACGAAGAGCACAGACACAAACACAAGAAAAAGAATATGGAAAAGTTCAAGAGCGAAGAAAGTTTCGATTCGCGGAAAGCCAATGCGACAAAAAATCATAAGATAAGTTTAAACCACAACTCGACCAGAATAATCGGTGATGGCTTCAACAATAACACGGGTAAGCTTTTCCCATTAACAAAGAATGTTACTACGCATGAATCATTAAAATTTAATAACATGCAATCGTCAGGACACAAGGAAAACAAAACTTTGCACGGTTTGATCTTCGTTAAACCAAATATTAGCAGAACGAACAGTGCTAATCAAACTAACAATAATGTTTTGAATAATTTCCTTCAAAGCGAGAAAGGTGTGAAGGTTATCAACGGTTCGCAATTGCATTCAAATAACAATAAATGGAACAATAGTGGCATTCCGCCTCCCATTGGTTTAATGAACTTCAATGCAACAGGTCTTGAACAAGGCTTGAAGAATTTCAATGCAAATGCTCCTGCAGAAGGCTGGAAGAATTTCAATGCAACAGGTCTTTCACAAGGCTGGAAGAATTTCAATGCAACAGGTCCTTCACAAGGCTGGAAGAATTTCAATGCAAATGCTCCTGCAGAAGGCTGGAAGAATTTGAATGCAACAAGTCCTGGAATAGGCTGGAAGAATTTCAATGCAACAGGTTCAGAAGTTGGCTGGAAGAATTTCAATGCTCCTACACAAGGCTGGAAGACCAATCCGAATCCAGTACAGGGCTGGAATATCGAACCTTCAGCCCCAGACTACAGGAAGGAGTTCAGTGTTCCCGATCACACAAAGGACCAAAGATATTATTTCGATTCTCCTGGAATGGGTGGATATCTTCAGAGGAATCCAAATTTTATCAACAATGATAACCGACCTATCGCTTACCCGTTAGATTCTGACTACAATAAAAAATCTATCAGCAATATAGCACCTGAATACAGTTGGGGACCTCAGCCTTCTTATAATTATAATGATCAATACAATGCTGATGGAAAAATATTCAATAATTATCCAAAGCATAAAAGTTACGATAGTTCTGAAGAGAACTCTTCCGAGATTGCTAAAGGAGTTAAAAAAATGTTTAAAAAAATTGGAAAAGGAGCCGGAAAAGTGTTGTCCAGTGATCCAGTCAAAGATGCAATGAAACAAACAGCTAGTTCATATTTCGCAAATCCTCCACCGAATGGATTCATCTATAATCCACCTTACAGCAACAAGAGGCAAACATTCTATAGCGGCTTACCGAAACCTGTTGGAAAGGAATCTATGAGTACTGACGATTGGAGGAGTATAATATTCGGCAACGTACCGAGGAAAGTCGAAACCAGAAATCTATATTCAGCTGCTTTTCCAGAAACTTATCAGAACTTGGATTTACATGCTCTCTCAGAAAAAGGACGGTTACCTGATTTCAACCGAACTCAGTACAAATTATTTTTTCCTAATCCTCACTACCAAAAATTGTTCGCAGGATTACAAAACGAAGATATTAACGAACGCTTCCGAACTAAGAGAGAATTGTCAGAGGAGGGCAAAGCTATGGCAAAAGTTATCAACAAGTTCTTTCTGCACGAGAGAGACTGTAATGATACTGAGTTGGATGCGAGGAAGAAGCGAGACCTCGTGATCAGGCCGCTGAAGACAAATGCTGGAGCTGGAGGGTTCCAAGAAGAAAATAGAATTACTAATTTTCCTTTTTCAGGTGTAGAAGCTATAGTTCAGAGTGACTTCGGTATATCAGTTTATGAAGAAGTACCCAAACAACTTCAACTAGACAATAATGCCACAGAAAAGACTGTTATTGACAAAGTAACTGAAGAGAACATTTCCACAACAGAACCGCCATCATCCATCTCTCGAAACAGAACTAAACTATATCCTGTTTCTGAAACTATCGAACAGTTTTTGAACAAGAAACCAGCAACGCGTCTGAGAGTAATTGATGAGTCTTTGGAAAAATGGAAATCGAAAGCAAGAACCGAAAATAATACTTATATTACCCCAAGTTCAGAATCGTATAATCAAGAAGTAAATTCGACCAATTTCAAAAGGATTGTTCGTAGTCGTGATACGTCTAGCGAACGTAACTTTACCCCTTTCTACCGCTTGTTTACCGACCGATATTCTGACAGTGAAATAAATACATTATACATTACTCCACATTATAAGGATAATATGGAAGGAAGTGAGTCCAAAATAGAACCGTTACATAAGGAAATGAAAAGTAACACTCCAAGTATGTTTTTACAAGATAGTAATGAACACTTTTCCACTCCTGAAAATTATAATCCTCAAGAAAACTCCCAAGAGGAAGAAACTAGTTCAAGTAGATCTTTTGAATCTGCAGAATCGACCAGGAAGAACGGATTCTACTTCTTTGGCGTTTATATTAATGATTATAACGATCAGAAGAGAGAAAATCACGCTTCAAATAAAGATTCAGAAGAATCATTATCTCAGGATACAGAAAGATCAACTCCTGTCTCAGATTTATCAACAGATGATAGCGATCTCGAAACTGCTTTTGTGCAGAGTACCATTCCTGCAATTTCTGCTTTAAGTTATTCAAATCATGAAGAGTTATCCACAGAAAATGTTAAAATAATTCCACAGCCTGCTATATCCGAACCTGTATTGAATACAGGAGTGCCTGACAAATATGCAACCTCTAAGCCTTCAAATTTATTTTATTTAGTACCCTTCAAGATTAACACGATATCTTCAATCAATTACACCAAAGATCCTAAGAAGGGAAGCAAAAGCACTCGTAAGGACGATACTGAGAATATAACTGCGAAAACATCCATTATCAAGGCACCTTTGATCACCAACAGGTGTGATCGAAATAGCCGCATGATGAAGGGAAGGTGTCGAAAAGTATGGTGAGGTGTTGATATTAATTGATTTTAAAAACTTTATATAATTTAATTGATATATAATAAATATTAATGTATGTGAAATAATCAAGTACAGAATTCATATACTAAAATCAACTGTCACTAAATTATATCTTAGACATAGTTACATGAAAAAATGCGCTATATCATATAGAGAAATGTTTTAAATTTTAAATTCATGACTTTAAATTTATCAAATAGATTTCAGAAAAATCTTTGGTTGTATCATGGCTCTCTCTCCTCTCTCTTCTATGTATGTATATACAGAGGTGCACACCCTCTCTCCCCCTTCCCCCAAGGTTGATTGCCTATGAACCCTTCTCCCATAATATTTTATTGCTCACATTTTCTTAAAAATAGTGCAAGCTAAAGTAGAATTTTAAAATAATAAGTCATATACAATGACACTTTTAGTGCTGTGTTCTTTACTTTCCTCTTGCCCCCCCCTCAAAAATTCAAAACCTCGTCAAAATGTGGCTATCTCAAAAATTTTGATGCAAAAACTTGCACTTGTGTGCTTAGATACATTTCCAATTTTTAAGAACCCAACGAGAGGGTTATTAATTGAATAATAATTATTCAATAATTAATATTTTAGTAATTATTGAATAATCAATATTCAATAATTAATATTTTAGTAATTACTTACCCCTTCATTCCAATGAAAAGGATCTATTTAGTATTGCTATATGAAAGGAAGAAAGAAAGAATAAAAAGAAAATTTAGTTCTGGGATATTTAGACCCCTGAGAACAATTATAATAAACAATGTAATGATATTTGTTTTGCATTAGAAAACAATCAAGAAGTAATTAAGCTAAATAATTATTTAACCTTTAAAATAAAATAAAAGAAAAGCATTAATAAACATTTGAAATTAGAAATAAATAATTATGATTATATCCACATATTTGTACTAATAGCTTGTGTGCACCCCTTTATAAATATCAATAATAATATATTTAACAATTGGCTGTACCTATGTTATTGACACAGTGTTACCATCACTTATTTGTTTTCGTGTGATTAGTTTATTAATGTGTATAGTATATAATAATGTAATTTAAAATTAGCTATAGTTTTTTTTAAAAATATTTGTTCATATCTATTGTTTTTATGAATAGGGCTTTCTAGTCATGATTGTTTGTCGTTTTTATACTTTAAACTATTAAAAATCATGTTAGTGGAGTAAGCAACATTTAAATTTCTTTTCTTAAATTAGTATAAACTAATGTTTATGTAAATAATCTTTAATAAATCTAATTCTTGTTCATTGATTAGTTTCATTTAAATTTAAACCTTACATTTAATAAGCTATTAAAGGAAACTGAGTGCTAATTTTTTTAAATTTTAAAATCTAACAATAACTTGCAGAGCTTCACAGTTCTCAGTCATAGACTATAGTTTTCTTCGTATAACATTAAAATTTTATACTTCAATATAGTTTCAACTTGCTCCAGACATTATTCAAAAATATGGGTTATAGTTGGAAAGCTGCTTAGAATACAGAATAATTTGGGGGCAAATTATATCCATTTTTCACTATTCCGGGTAAGAACCCGTATTTTCTAAGAGCTGCTTGAAGCTTTTTCATATAAAAATGAGGTATATATGGGTGTGTGTAATATAAATATACACATATATAAATTTATGCATGTATATTAGGTTAGTTGTTAAATTTTTTTAATATGTATATTAAATAATGATAAAATGGATGTATAGTTAATCATCTGTATAGTTAAAAGGTTTTATATCCAAAGTTGGGTAATAAGTTTTAGTTTTCATTTATAACTAATGTTTATACCTAGTTAAAACTAGGTAGGTAGAAAACATTTTTAACATTTCTTGAATACATTGTATGCTAAATATATGTATAGGATATATTTATTATTTGATATTTGTAGTAATGATTTCATGCATAAGATAAAAGAAGTTGTTAAATGAGCCAGAACAATTCTAAAAAAGTTAGTTAAATTTCTTTAAAATTCACATTCATTCGGCAAAATGATTTCGTTTTGTTCAAAAACGGTTACCCAGATGAAATTAAAGGATTAAAATTTTATATGTAAATCGATTTAGTCTCAAAGACGGACTTTGTGGGTCTCAGTTTTTTACTTCATCATTTTGTCTTAAGTTTTAATTATTTGCGCAACTAGACAGTCCTCTTAAATATAGTTAAAAGGTTGAATTTTCGTATGAAAATTTAATTGGTGTTAAATTTTGGTGTGGGATTAATATTCGATGTCTGAGCTTCTTCGTTTCATCCAACTTTTACAACTTTTTAGAACTTTCTTTTTCGATTTGATTCCTACCTCACTATTTAAAGTATAAGCGGGGGGAAAAAGGGATGTTCTAGAAATAAAAATCACCCAGGCCGGATTCGCATCAGCCCGCTAAAATCGAGAATGATTACCAACGGTTGATACTACCCTCTGCTGTAATTTTCGATGACAGGTTGACCGAGCGATTAATTGAACTTGATTAGCTGAAGTTAATATTATAAACTAATTGTAAATGAGTTCTCATTCCTATACCAGGAGAGAAAAGAGGCTTTTAATTCTAGTATAATTCCCCGCCCTCCCATATGGCCCAGGAAACACACTGTATAGTCTAAAAGGCTTGGAAGGGAGACCAAAAAATTAATAAATGTGAACGCTTTCCATGGCCGTGCTCTAGGTTTTTCTCACTTCTACAGACCATCCAAATCGATTTAGAGGGTTGAGGGTTGTAAATGAATTGAGTAAGTGTTAGAGGAGTGTTTTTGTCTTCTACCTCTTTGGCACCTTTAATAAATTTACCTAAATAAATATTTCGTTACATTTCGATACATAACTCTACTTAACGAAATTTACCGAAGCACTATGAGACGTAGTTTTGGAACGGGTTTTTTACAGGATGCTGATAGTAATATCTGCGACCTCATGTCTACTCTCAAGGTTATCTCCACAGAAACTATTTCTACATTTGGTTTCATCGGAACCAACTGATAATGGTATTTTATAAGAAAACGTAAAATCAGCATGTTCCATTTCCTGGATTATCCACAGTATAAACCTTAGCCATTAAAAATAATAATTCTCACTTATGCTTGTATGGATAATTGGCAAGCTGAAAATATTTTATATTTATCACTTCAGACTATATTTTTTCCAGATTTCACAGATTTAACTCTTAAAAATACAAATTAAATAGAAATTTTACAAAAAATTAACGGTATTTTGATTAAATAGTTTTAGTTCTCAATAAGAGTGATGATAACATCACATATAAATGTGATAAAATAATAAATAAGAATTAAAACAGATTACTCAACAGAGCTCAAATCTATGTATTTTTTTTTAAATAACAATTTCCAGGGGATATTTTATTAGCACCTTGAACAATCTAACATTTATATGAGCTTGTTATTTCATTATAAAACAAATTTTGTTTTCTCAATAATAAAAATATGGGGAATATAATACTAGAAGTTATTTCAAACTTTTTTGTGATTTCTTTTTCTTTAAGGTGATTTTCTTTCTTATATATATAATTTTCAGCAGTATTCATTTCAGCAGTCTTAAAATATTAATCTATATTTCGTTATAATTTATTCAGAAACAAAAGAAATAAGACATATAAACAAATAACAGGAGACAAAAAGCATTGAGAAAGGTAGACAATGTAGAAAAAACAAACAAAAAAACAAATGTTAACCCTAGATGTAACTGCACAGGACACAATCGACCCCCCTCTACTCCTTCCCCCCCACCGTCCGACCACTCGACCTTTTCACAGACAATATCCTTCGAGGGAACCAACCGACCGATGCTCGTTTTGGACAAACCTCGCCATTTTTTCTGTTTCTAGGGACCCTTTCCTGTTGAAATAATATTGGTCGTCCTAAGGGTCGAAGTAAAACGGAGAAAAACCCTTGAACCAGAGTTTTCTTTGTCCATGGGAACGTGATAAGGGGAAGGTAAACATGGTGGGGTCTGATTTCAATATCCGAAACGATAGGCTTTCCCGCAGATAACTGAATTGTCAAATATCAGCGAATATAAAAAGTCATATATCAAACCTCTCAAAAAGAGCAGTCGGGAAGTTTAAATCCAGTTTTGTCTATTAATAAAAATAAAAAAATTTCATACTTCAAAAAAATTAAAAATATATTAAAAGATGTGTGTGTTTTATACTACCATACGATAGATGTGAAAACATTAACAAGGCTAGATTAATAATATGAAATATAAATTAAAAATAATAGCTACTTATGAAGAGGATGAAATGCTAAACATTTCTCTCGCTTATAGTAGGCAGGTCCAATTTTTAGTTTTTAAGATATTATCTTCAAAAACTGTACGATATTTTGGTCTCCACTTGGACAATCGATTGACAAGAACATACCACATAAAACAAAAAAGAAAAGAACTTAATCAGCGATACGGACTTCTTTCTAGGCTACTTGACAGGCGTTCTAAATTATCTGTGGCAAGACATCAATGATCAGCAAAGACATTAAATATAAAAATTATCCAGTCAAAAGTCCTTCGAAAAATTTTAGACGTACCCTTTTATGTTTCAAACCTTACTCACGTTACACACAGACCTTAACACTCCTTTCATCAAGGAAACTGCCACAGACCGCTTTACTAATTTTCATGACAGACTGACTCTAAATTCAAATCCACTTACTCAAGCTCTGTCTTCTGCCACAAATCCATACAAGAGACTTATTGCATTGAGCTACTTGCTGTATTATATTTTTTTTTTGTGTTACTATGTTATCTTATATTCATTTTACTTCTGTTTTTTTTTTTTTTTGTTCTGTTATTACTATCCTTATTTTTTTTATGCTATCATTTACTCTCCTTGATATCATATTTGCTGAATACCGAGGTAGATAGCAAAATTATTGTGAGCTAGGAGTGTGTGTAACTAATAAATAAATAAAATAATAAGATATTTTAATCAATATCTGCCATAAAATTCATTATCATTTGTTTTTCGATACCATATTTTCCTTTTTACTTTTCCAACACGGCGCCACGTTAAGATATTATTTTGAATAATATTCGATTAGAGAGAGGACTAAATACTGAACAATTCACTCTCTAACAATATACAGTTCCGATGTTTTAGTTTTTTTAGATATTTTAATCCTTATGAAAAAACACTTAAATTAGTCGATTTTACTCGAGCGTTTCATATCGAAGATCTGACGGCTCAACCTAATTCACTCTTTACAAAAAAAGTG